ACACTGACCTGGGGCCTCTGTGTCTGTTGCTCACACTGACCTGGGGCCTCTGTGTCTGTTGCACACACTGACCTGGGGCCTCTGTGTCTGTTGCACACACTGGCCCCGGGGCCTCTGTCTGTTGCACACACTGGCCCCAGTGCCTCTGTGTCTGTTGCACACACTGGTCCCGGGGCCACTGTGTCTGTTGCACACACTGACCTGGGGCCTCTGTGTCTGTTGCTCACACTGACCTGGGGCCTCTGTGTCTGTTGCACACACTGACCTGGGGCCTCTGTGTCTGTTGCTCACACTGACCTGGGGCCTCTGTGTCTGTTACACACACTGACCTGGGGCCTCTGTGTCTGTTGCACACACTGGCCCCGGGGCCTCTGTCTGTTGCACACACTGGCTCCGGGGCCTCTGTGTCTGTTGCACACACTGGCCCCGGGGCCTCTGTGTCTGTTGCACACACTGACCTGGGGCCTCTGTGTCTGTTGCACACACTGGCCCCGGGGCCTCTGTGTTTCCTGTGTCAGATGGATGAGTGTGTGAGGTGTTGCAGACAGTCACACCCTGTCCTCCGTCTATGGGCTCCCAAAACACTTGGAGCATGTTAAACAGAGGATTTCCTCCGGACACGTCTTACCTGTGTCTGAGAAGGCCTCTTATGCAACACGCTCAGCCCCATTTATCAAACATGTGACACGCCACGATAAAGACACGTTTAGAACAAAGTGTTCTTCGACAATTAAAGGGCTTTATGATTAGTAAGTAAGTAAGTAAGTAAGTTTGTATTTATATACCGCCTTTTCACTGCAGATCTGAGTCTCAAAGCGGTTTACAATTGTTAATTTTTGGGCATTTGTCTCTCACTCCACACAGAGATGGGAGCGGGGTCGCTGGTACAGGAGGCACATGCCAGAACTATTGGACATATTTTTAGTGGTAGGGGAAACCGGAGTACCCGGAGGAAACCTACGCAGACACGGGGAGAACATGCAAACTCCACTCAGAAAGGCCCTGGTCCGGCCGGGATTCGAACCCAGGACCTTCTTGCTGAGAGGCGAGAGTGCTATCCACTCAGCCACCGTGCCGCCCTGATAAAATCTTATTCCATCTAAAAACTATAATCATTTCTCGGGATACGTCAAATATAAAACGTATTCTAAATATGACTGTCCAAAAGTGGGGAAAAAGTGAGAATATCCTCATTTACAAAATGCAGTGTATGAGGACTTTATATCGATCAGATATTTGTGATGTCTGGTTTAGTGCTGGTTGAACCCACCTCTCTGTCGCTCAAAGGCAGAGGGAGGTTAAACTTTCCCCTTCGTAGTTAAGAGAGTGGCCGCTTTGACAACAGCCATAAAGTGACCAGTGTGTTTTCATCAGATGATCATTTCCTGGGCCAGGTTGAGGTGAATTTTGTTTAATCCTTTTTGAAAATGTCTGAAATCTAAAAGAGTCTCTGAGACCTATGATGTATTGGTTATTGTGTTCTCGTGGCAAAGACGGCTGTGGCCTTCTGTCTGTCTGCTTCCACTTGTCTGCATTCTACCACCTTAGCCACAGACGTCTGCTTCCACCTTAGCCACAGATGTCTGCTTCCACATCAGCCACAGACGTCTGCTTCCACATTCTGTCACCTCAGCCACAGACGTCTGCTTCGTACTAGATGGTGTTGGTTTTACTCAGAATGTCGAGGAACCTACTCACATTCATAACCACACCTTGGACCTTGTCCTGACCTACGGCTGTGATGTCTCCAATGTTGACATCCAGCGTCAAAGCTCATTGCTGTCTGACCATTTCTTGATCACGTTTGATCTCGCTTTGGAGGACTTTCCTGTCCCGCAAGATAAAACCATAATGAAAAGAACCTTAAATGATAAATCTATCACAAGGTTCAAAGAACTAATACAGCCTATGTTGAATACTGCTGCAGGTGAACCTGTTCACAGCAGCTGCAGTCCCTCAGTCATTGACCAAACGGTGGGCAACACTATGGAGTCTTTAAAATCTGCATTAAATGCAGCAGCTCCTTTAAAACAGAAAACCATTAGGATTAGATCATCGTCGCCCTGGTACAGTGTTCAACTCCACACTTTAAAACAGGACGTCAGAAAATTGGAGAGGCTATATCGCCACTCCCACTCGGAGCCTGTCCACAGGGAGTGGAAAGCAGGTCTCCGAAACTACAAGAAGGCCCTTCGCGGGGCTCGAACTCAATACTATTCAACTTTAATAGAAGCGAATAAAAACAACAGTAGATTTTTGTTTGGTAGCGTCGCTAAACTCACAAACTGCCATAGCGCAATCGAGCCTAAAATTCCAAGCTCACTGAGCAGTGTCGACTTTCTCCACTTCTTTAATAATAAAATGACATCCATCCGTGACAAGCTGGAGGAGGTTGCTCCTGCTGTTGGTGGTGGACAGGCTGAAGCGGCATACGTGACTTCCCACTTAGACTCTTCAGTGGGCCTCGATAAATTCATGGCTGTGAGCCAAGCAGAGGTGATCTCTGTGGTCACATCCTCAAAAGCCTCAACTTGCATGTTAGACGCAGTCCCGACATGGCTCTTCAAAGACATACTTCCTTTGATAATTGAGCCTATCGTAAATATAATAAACGCATCCATACAATGTGGCTATGTCCCACAAGCTTTTAAAACCGCGGTAATCAAACCCCTTCTGAAGAAAACAAACCTGGACCCAGAAATACTTACAAACTACAGACCGATCTCAAACCTCACTTTTATATCTAAAATCCTGGAAAAACTTATAGCTGAGCAGCTCCGCTGCCACCTGCAGGAAAATAATATGTTTGAAGTCTTTCAATCAGGATTCAGAGCTCATCATAGACTGAAACGGCACTAGTCAAAGTCACAAATGACTTACTACTAGCTGCTGATAATGGACAAGTTGTCAGTGCTGGTCCTACTGGACCTTAGTGCTGCATTTGACACAATAGACCACAGCATTCTACTGCAGAGGCTAGAATGTGATATAGGTCTTAGAGGAACAGCCCTTGGCTGGTTTAAATCCTATTTATCAGATCGATATCACTTCGTCAATGTGAATCAGGACTCGTCGCCTTATTCTGGAGTGGAATTCGGTGTGCCGCAGGGTTCGGTACTCGGACCGATTCTTTTTACTCTCTACATGCTGCCACTGGGAAACATTATTAAAAAGCATGGAATTAATTTCCACTGCTATGCAGATGACACACAGCTTTATCTGTCGATGAAGCCTAACCAGACAGATCAGCTAGAAAAGCTCAGTGCCTGCATAAAGGACCTTAAAATGTGGATGACTCTTAACTTCCTACTTCTCAACCCGGAGAAGACAGAAGTGATCCTACTCGGTCCGAAGCGCCTACGTGACTCCCTCACTAACCAGATAATTACTCTGATAATGTCAGTATAATACCCAGTAACACTGTGAGGAATCTTGGAGTCATTTTTGACCAAGAACTCTCCTTCAAGGCTTATATAAGCCAAGCAACTAAAACGGCGTACTTCCACTTACGGAACATCGCTAAAATTAGGAATTTCCTTCCTAAAAGTGACGCGGAAAAACTCATTCACGCGTTTGTCACCTCAAGGCTCGACTGTAACGCTTTACTGGCAGCGTGCCCTAAAGCCTCTTTGAAGAGCTTCCAGCTCGTTCAGAATACAGCAGCTAGGATCTTAACAGGTACCAAAAGGAGGGAGCACATAACTCCGGTGTTAAAATCACTCCACTGGCTCCATGTGGAGTACAGAATAAAGTTTAAAATCCTACTCTTAACATATAAAGCCATAAATGGCTTGGCTCCCTCTTATCTCCAAGACACGTTAGTGTCGTATCAACCAGGTCGAGCGTTGCGCTCACAAAACGCCAGACGTCTGGTGGTCCCTAAGGTCTCAAAGGTTACTGTTGGTGGCAGAGCATTTAGCTACCAAGCTCCTTTACTGTGGAATCAGCTTCATTTATGTTAAGGAAGCAGATACGGTCTCCACATTCAAGGCCAGGCTTAAAGCACTTTACTTTAATTTAGCATATAATTAGGTAATATATAATATGTAGTGTATATATTATATATATATATGCTGTATTATGTTATATATTATTCAATAATGTATTGTGTTATGTTGTATATTATGTTATATATTATGCTGTATGTTATATTATGCTGTATGTTATTCTTTATTCAAGGCTAGGTTTAAAACAGTCCTCTTTAGTTTAGCATATGGCTAGGAAGGTAAGACTCGGAGAAGGTTAAACTCCTCAGACTGTCAGTCAAGCTGCATAGGGAGCCCCCTGCTGGAGAAGTATGGTAACTTGAGCACTATCCTCTCCTCCTTCCTACTTTATCTGTTTAGCATTTTTAGGATTCTGACTGTAGTTTGTTCATTGCTATTCACCCGTTGTCCCATTGTCTGTTTCATGGTACGATGACGGGATCTCTGAGCCTGGCCTCTTCCATCTACACCTGCGGACTGCCCCGCCCGACCCGCCTGGGAGTGCTTCAGTCCTGCACCGCACCTGTCCACGTTCAGCGGCCACTGGTCCACGTCCTGTAGCTAGCTTAGGTCCTGGATCATTAGCCTGTCCGTCCGGAGGAGCGGATCCCTTTCTCATATGGGTCTCCCTCCCTGTGGGTTTCCCTAGTTCTCCTCCAAGGTTTCTCACTTTTTCCCACTGGGTTTTTTAAGAGTTTTTCCTTGTCGATGCAGGAGGGTCTTGTTGGACAGTTAGTGTCCAACAGAAAGGATTGGTGATGATCAGGACACTTTAGCATTCTACAACATGTATGGACATTTTCTTCTGTGTGTGCTTTATATTCTTCATGTGTTTTAACTGTTGATTCTCTGACCTGTGTTGGTGATTTCAATGGTTTTGTTAAGTCCTCTGAGATGACTTCTGTTGTGACCTAGGGCTATACAAGAATAAATTGTATTGTATTGTATTGTATTGTACCTCAGCCATAGACGTCTGCTTCCACCTCAGCCACAGACGTCTGCTTCCACATTCAGCCACAGACGTCTGCTTCCACATTCAGCCACAGACGTCTGCTTCCACATTCAGCCACAGACGTCTGCTTCCACATAAGCCACAGACGTCTGCTTCCACATTCAGCCACAGACGTCTGCTTCCACATAAGCCACAGACGTCTGATTCCACATTCAGCCACAGACGTCTGCTTCCACATCAGCCACAGACGTCTGCTTCCACATTCAGCCACAGACATCTGCTTCCACCTCAGCCACAGACGTCTGCTTCCACCTCAGCCACAGACGTCTGCTTCCACATCAGCCACAGACGTCTGCTTCCACATTCAGCCACAGTCGTCTGCTTCCACATTCAGCCACAGACATCTGCTTCCACATCAGCCACAGACGTCTGCTTCCACAACAGCCACAGACGTCTGCTTCCACATCAGCCACAGACATCTGCTTCCACCTCAGCCACAGACGTCTGCTTCCACATTAAGCCACAGACGTCTGCTTCCACATCAGCCACAGACGTCTGCTTCCACATTCAGCCACAGACGTCTGCTTCCACATTCAGCCACAGACGTCTGCTTCCACATCAGCCACAGACGTCTGCTTCCACATTCAGCCACAGACGTCTGCTTCCACATTCAGCCACAGACGTCTGCTTCCACATAAGCCACAGACGTCTGCTTCCACATTCAGCCACAGACGTCTGCTTCCACATAAGCCACAGACGTCTGATTCCACATTCAGCCACAGACATCTGATTCAACATTCAGCCACAGACGTCTGCTTCCACCTCAGCCACAGACGTCTGCTTCCACATCAGCCACAGACGTCTGCTTCCACATTCAGCCACAGACGTCTGCTTCCACATTCAGCCACAAACGTCTGCTTCCACATCAGCCACAGACGTCTGCTACCACAACAGCCACAGACGTCTGCTTCCACATTCAGCCACAGACGTCTGCTTCCACATTCAGCCACAGACGTCTGCTTCCACAAAAGCCACAGACGTCTGCTTCCACATTCAGCCACAGACATCTGCTTCCACCTCAGCCACAGACGTCTGCTTCCACATCAGCCACAGACGTCTGCTTCCACATCAGCCACAGACGTCTGCTTCCACATTCAGCCACAGACATCTGCTTCCACCTCAGCCACAGACGTCTGCTTCCACATCAGCCACAGACGTCTGCTTCCACATCAGCCACAGACGTCTGCTTCCACATCAGCCACAGACGTCTGCTTCCACATTCAGCCACAGACGTCTGCTTCCACATTCAGCCACAGACGTCTGCTTCCACATCAGCCACAGACGTCTGCTTCCACATTCAGCCACAGACGTCTGCTTCCACATCAGCCACAGACGTCTGCTTCCACATAAGCCACAGACGTCTGCTTCCACATTCAGCCACAGACATCTGCTTCCACCTCAGCCACAGACGTCTGCTTCCACATCAGCCACAGACGTCTGCTTCCACATCAGCCATAGACGTCTGCTTCCACATCAGCCACAGACGTCTGCTTCCACATTCAGCCACAGACATCTGCTTCCACCTCAGCCACAGACGTCTGCTTCCACATCAGCCGCAGACGTCTGCTTCCACATCAGCCACAGACGTCTGCTTCCACATCAGCCACAGACGTCTGCTTCCACATCAGCCACAGACGTCTGCTTCCACCTCAGCCACAGACGTCTGCTTTCACATCAGCCACAGACGTCTGCTTCCACATCAGCCACAGACGTCTGCTTCCACATCAGCCACAGACGTCTGCTTCCACATCAGCCACAGACGTCTGCTTCCACATTCAGCCACAGACGTCTGCTTCCACATTCAGCCACAGACGTCTGCTTCCACATCAGCCATAGACGTCTGCTTCCACATCAGCCACAGACGTCTGCTTCCACCTCAGCCACAGACGTCTGCTTCCACATCAGCCACAGACGTCTGCTTCCACATTAAGCCACAGACGTCTGCTTCCACATCAGCCACAGACGTCTGCTTCCACATTCAGCCACAGACGTCTGCTTCCACATTCAGCCACAGACGTCTGCTTCCACATCAACCACAGACGTCTGCTTCCACATTCAGCCACAGACGTCTGCTTCCACATTCAGCCACAGACGTCTGCTTCCACATAAGCCACAGACGTCTGCTTCCACATTCAGCCACAGACGTCTGCTTCCACATAAGCCACAGACGTCTGATTCCACATTCAGCCACAGACGTCTGCTTCCACCTCAGCCACAGACGTCTGCTTCCACATCAGCCACAGACGTCTGCTTCCACATTCAGCCACAGACGTCTGCTTCCACATTCAGCCACAAACGTCTGCTTCCACATCAGCCACAGACGTCTGCTACCACAACAGCCACAGACGTCTGCTTCCACATTCAGCCACAGACGTCTGCTTCCACATTCAGCCACAGACGTCTGCTTCCACAAAAGCCACAGACGTCTGCTTCCACATTCAGCCACAGACATCTGCTTCCACCTCAGCCACAGACGTCTGCTTCCACATCAGCCACAGACGTCTGCTTCCACATCAGCCACAGACGTCTGCTTCCACATTCAGCCACAGACATCTGCTTCCACATCAGCCACAGACGTCTGCTTCCACATCAGCCACAGACGTCTGCTTCCACATCAGCCACAGACGTCTGCTTCCACATACAGCCACAGACGTCTGCTTCCACATTCAGCCACAGACGTCTGCTTCCACATTCAGCCACAGACGTCTGCTTCCACATCAGCCACAGACGTCTGCTTCCACATTCAGCCACAGACGTCTGCTTCCACATCAGCCACAGACGTCTGCTTCCACATAAGCCACAGACGTCTGCTTCCACATTCAGCCACAGACATCTGCTTCCACCTCAGCCACAGACGTCTGCTTCCACATCAGCCACAGACGTCTGCTTCCACATCAGCCACAGACGTCTGCTTCCACATCAGCCACAGACGTCTGCTTCCACATTCAGCCACAGACGTCTGCTTCCACCTCAGCCACAGACGTCTGCTTCCACATCAGCCACAGACGTCTGCTTCCACATCAGCCACAGACGTCTGCTTCCACATCAGCCACAGACGTCTGCTTCCACATCAGCCACAGACGTCTGCTTCCACATCAGCCACAGACGTCTGCTTCCACATCAGCCACAGACGTCTGCTTCCACATCAGCCACAGACGTCTGCTTCCACATCAGCCACAGACGTCTGCTTCCACATCAGCCACAGACGTCTGCTTCCACATTCAGCCACAGACGTCTGCTTCCACATTCAGCCACAGACGTCTGCTTCCACATCAGCCACAGACGTCTGCTTCCACATCAGCCACAGACGTCTGCTTCCACATCAGCCACAGACGTCTGCTTCCACATCAGCCACAGACGTCTGCTTCCACATCAGCCACAGACGTCTGCTTCCACATCAGCCACAGACGTCTGCTTCCACATCAGCCACAGACGTCTGCTTCCACATCAGCCACAGACGTCTGCTTCCACATCAGCCACAGACGTCTGCTTCCACATCAGCCACAGACGTCTGCTTCCACATCAGCCACAGACGTCTGCTTCCACATCAGCCACAGACGTCTGCTCCACATCAGCCACAGACGTCTGCTTCCACATCAGCCACAGACGTCTGCTTCCACATCAGCCACAGACGTCTGCTTCCACATCAGCCACAGACGTCTGCTTCCACATCAGCCACAGACGTCTGCTTCCACATCAGCCACAGACGTCTGCTTCCACATTCAGCCACAGACGTCTGCTTCCACATTCAGCCACAGACGTCTGCTTCCACATCAGCCACAGACGTCTGCTTCCACATCAGCCACAGACGTCTGCTTCCACATCAGCCACAGACGTCTGCTTCCACATCAGCCACAGACGTCTGCTTCCACATCAGCCACAGACGTCTGCTTCCACATCAGCCACAGACGTCTGCTTCCACATTAAGCCACAGACGTCTGCTTCCACATCAGCCACAGACGTCTGCTTCCACATTCAGCCACAGACGTCTGCTTCCACATTCAGCCACAGACGTCTGCTTCCACATTCAGCCACAGACGTCTGCTTCCACCTCAGCCACAGACGTCTGCTTCCACATTCAGCCACAGACGTCTGCTTCCACATCAGCCACAGACGTCTGCTTCCACATTCAGCCACAGACGTCTGCTTCCACATTCAGCCACAGACGTCTGCTTCCACATCAGCCACAGACGTCTGCTTCCACATTCAGCCACAGACGTCTGCTTCCACATAAGCCACAGACGTCTGATTCCACATTCAGCCACAGACATCTGATTCAACATTCAGCCACAGACGTCTGCTTCCACCTCAGCCACAGACGTCTGCTTCCACATCAGCCACAGACGTCTGCTTCCACATTCAGCCACAGACGTCTGCTTCCACATTCAGCCACAGACGTCTGCTTCCACATCAGCCACAGACGTCTGCTACCACAACAGCCACAGACGTCTGCTTCCACATCAGACACAGACGTCTGCTTCCACCTCAGCCACAGACGTCTGCTTCCACATTCAGCCACAGACGTCTGCTTCCACATAAGCCACAGACGTCTGCTTCCACATTCAGCCACAGACGTCTGCTTCCACATTCAGCCACAGACGTCTGCTTCCACATCAGCCACAGACGTCTGCTTCCACATCAGCCACAGACGTCTGCTTCCACATTCAGCCACAGACGTCTGCTTCCACATTCAGCCACAGACGTCTGCTTCCACATCAGCCACGGACGTCTGCTTCCACATCAGCCACGGACGTCTGCTTCCACATTCAGCCACAGACATCTGCTTCCACATTCAGCCACAGACGTCTGCTTCCACATAAGCCACAGACGTCTGCTTCCACATTCAGCCACAGACGTCTGCTTCCACCTCAGCCACAGACGTCTGCTTCCACATCAGCCACAGACGTCTGCTTCCACATCAGCCACAGACGTCTGCTTCCACATTCAGCCACAGACGTCTGCTTCCACATCAGCCACAGACGTCTGCTTCCACATCAGCCACAGACGTCTGCTTCCACATCAGCCACAGACGTCTGCTTCCACATCAGCCACAGACGTCTGCTTCCACATTCAGCCACAGACGTCTGCTTCCACATTCAGCCACAGACGTCTGCTTCCACATCAGCCACAGACGTCTGCTTCCACATTCAGCCACAGACGTCTGCTTCCACATCAGCCACAGACGTCTGCTTCCACATCAGCCACAGACGTCTGCTTCCACATTCAAGCCACAGACGTCTGCTTCCACATCAGCCACAGACGTCTGCTTCCACATCAGCCACAGACGTCTGCTTCCACATCAGCCACAGACGTCTGCTTCCACATCAGCCACAGACGTCTGCTTCCACATCAGCCACAGACGTCTGCTTCCACATCAGCCACAGACGTCTGCTTCCACATCAGCCACAGACGTCTGCTTCCACATCAGCCACAGACGTCTGCTTCCACATCAGCCACAGACGTCTGCTTCCACATCAGCCACAGACGTCTGCTTCCACATCAGCCACAGACGTCTGCTTCCACATCAGCCACAGACGTCTGCTTCCACATCAGCCACAGACGTCTGCTTCCACATCAGCCACAGACGTCTGCTTCCACATCAGCCACAGACGTCTGCTTCCACATCAGCCACAGACGTCTGCTTCCACATTCAGCCACAGACGTCTGCTTCCACATCAGCCACAGACGTCTGCTTCCACATCAGCCACAGACGTCTGCTTCCACATCAGCCACAGACGTCTGCTTCCACATCAGCCACAGACGTCTGCTTCCACATCAGCCACAGACGTCTGCTTCCACATCAGCCACAGACGTCTGCTTCCACATCAGCCACAGACGTCTGCTTCCACATCAGCCACAGACGTCTGCTTCCACATCAGCCACAGACGTCTGCTTCCACATCAGCCACAGACGTCTGCTTCCACATCAGCCACAGACGTCTGCTTCCACATCAGCCACAGACGTCTGCTTCCACATCAGCCACAGACGTTGCCTCCACATCAGCCACAGACGTCTGCTTCCACATCAGCCACAGACGTCTGCTTCCACATCAGCCACAGACTTCTGCTTCCACATCAGCCACAGACGTCTGCTTCCACATCAGCCACAGACGTCTGCTTCCACATCAGCCACAGACGTCTGCTTCCACATTCAGCCACAGACGTCTGCTTCCACATCAGCCACAGACGTCTGCTTCCACATCAGCCACAGACGTCTGCTTCCACATCAGCCACAGACGTCTGCTTCCACATCAGCCACAGACGTCTGCTTCCACATCAGCCACAGACGTCTGCTTCCACATCAGCCACAGACGTCTGCTTCCACATCAGCCACAGACGTCTGCTTCCACATTCAGCCACAGACGTCTGCTTCCACATCAGCCACAGACGTCTGCTTCCACATCAGCCACAGACGTCTGCTTCCACATCAGCCACAGACGTCTGCTTCCACATTCAGCCACAGACGTCTGCTTCCACATCAGCCACAGACGTCTGCTTCCACATCAGCCACAGACGTCTGCTTCCACATCAGCCACAGACGTCTGCTTCCACATCAGCCACAGACGTCTGCTTCCACATCAGCCACAGACGTCTGCTGCTTCCACATCAGCCACAGACGTCTGCTTCCACATCAGCCACAGACGTCTGCTTCCACATCAGCCACAGACGTCTGCTTCCACATCAGCCACAGACGTCTGCTTCCACATCAGCCACAGACGTCTGCTTCCACATTCAGCCACAGACGTCTGCTTCCACATCAGCCACAGACGTCTGCTTCCACATTCAGCCACAGACGTCTGCTTCCACATTCAGCCACAGACGTCTGCTTCCACATTCAGCCACAGACGTCTGCTTCCACATCAGCCACAGACGTCTGCTTCCACATCAGCCACAGACGTCTGCTTCCACATCAGCCACAGACGTCTGCTTCCACATTCAGCCACAGACGTCTGCTTCCACATTCAGCCACAGACGTCTGCTTCCACATCAGCCACAGACGTCTGCTTCCACATCAGCCACAGACGTCTGCTTCCACATTCAGCCACGCCAGACGTCTGCTTCCACATCAGCCACAGACGTCTGCTTCCACATTCAGCCACAGACGTCTGCTTCCACATTCAGCCACAGACGTCTGCTTCCACATTCAGCCACAGACGTCTGCTTCCACATTCAGCCACAGACGTCTGCTTCCACATTCAGCCACAGACGTCTGCTTCTTCCACATTCAGCCACAGACGTCTGCTTCCACATCAGCCACAGACGTCTGCTTCCACATTCAGCCACAGACGTCTGCTTCCACATTCAGCCACAGACGTCTGCTTCCACATCAGCCACAGACGTCTGCTTCCACATCAGCCACAGACGTCTGCTTCCACATCAGCCACAGACGTCTGCTTCCACATCAGCCACAGACGTCTGCTTCCACATTCAGCCACAGACGTCTGCTTCCACATCAGCCACAGACGTCTGCTTCCACATCGTTGGTCAAAGCGCCTGTCTTGTAAACAGGAGATCCTGGATTCGAATCCCAGCAGTGCCTTTTTACCTTGTACATAGAAAAACAGTCGGAGAACATGCAAACTCTGAGTGGAGTTTGCATGTTCTCCCCGTGTCTGCGTAGGTTTCCTCCGGGTACTCCGGTTTCCCCTACCACTAAAAATATGTCCAATAGGTCTGGCATGCGCCTCCTGTTCGGCGACCCCGCTCCCATCTCTGTGTGGAGTGAGAGGACAAGTGCCCAAAAATAACAATTGTAAACCGCTTTGTGACTCTGGTCTGTGAAAGGCGGTATATAAATAAAGCTTACTTACTTACTTACTTACTTACTAGAGCATGAGATTCTCAGGGTCGTTGTTGCGAACCCCATGTTGGGCAGTCTATGCAATGGGTGCTTATTTTCCCAATCTTCTTTTATCCGTGGAGTTTTCAGTGTCAAGCCAATCTCTCACCAATAAGAGGCGTGTGTACATGCCGATATAGCTCAGTTGGGAGAGCGTTAGACTGAACATCTAAAGGTCCCTGGTTTGATCACAGGTTTTGGCAGTTGGAGACGGTGGCAGCTCAAAGTTCTTTGTTCAATAACACCCAAAAAACATGGTTGATCCTATAATGGTCCTGTTAAGGGAACCCAAGAGTTCCAGTCAATAGTCAAGCTAGTATTACCCTATTTGTAGCAGTGGTAAGTGAATGTTCTAAAACGGCCACATAACTGCAACTCGAGGTCCTTCAATATGATGTCAAACTAGTGGTGGATGTGGCACTGTGGCTTAGTTGGTCAAAGCACCTGTCTCGCAAACAGGAGATCCTGGATTTGAATCCCGTGCCATTTTAAATGTGAAAATGGAAGCAAAGAGACAGAAGTCAACACAATTTCCCTTCTCCAGGAAGTGTTTGGCCAAAAATGTGCTCCATTAGGCTACCATGATTAGAGGTAGCCAGAACCCCAGTCAGGATATTTTCGCAACATCCTGTCTGTAGCTTTGCGCAGTTGCAGTATCATAGCTTATGAGAGCTAACCGAGGCGCGATTATTGCTAGTTGAAAACTTTACCCAATACCCCGCTTTGACTACTTGAAATACAGTTAGTCAAGTCAGTTTTAAAACGTCTCTTAGTAGACTTAGATGTATGTCAAATAAGATTAACTGAAGGACTTAGTATTTTGTAGAAAGCACATGTACTATCAAGAGCAGCTTGCTCCAATGTAGAAACAATGTTCATTAGGAGAGGTTCACCTTTCAAAATAATGTTCATTTCTGAATTTGATGGTGTAAAAACAGATATTTTAGCAATTGTCATCACACTGGCTGACTCATTGTCGTGGGGTATTATTTCTTAGTGAATTTCGAATACTTTGGCCGTTTTTTCTCAACATTGAACCCAACGCTTCAGCAGCTGCGAATTGAGCCCAACACGTGGCAAAGGCTCACTGAGATATTTCTTACTCTGTATGAGAGGACAACTACTGATCGTAGCAATTTTTTTGTTCACTAAAGATCACTGGATGTACCAGCAATTTGGCGACCACTTCATGGTGTTTCCTGTGGCTCGTTGGTCTAGGGGTATGATTCTCGCTTCGGGTGCGAGAGGTCCCGGGTTCAAATCCCGGACGAGCCCAGTTGTTCCATGTGATAGTGTCTTTGCTGTAATTACATAGTTCTGCGTGTGATTTTCTCAACTATGTGGTCAAACCGCCTGTCTAGTAAACAGGAAATCCCGGGTTCAAATCCCAGCAGTCCCTTTAAACCTTCAACACAGATAAACAGAATCATAAAATTGGCAGTCTTAGTTGTGCCAGTGATATGATTCTGAACTCTTAAGCTCAGGGTCGTGAGTTCGAACCCCACATTGTGCGAGAATCTTTGCATTTGATGCTTATTTTCCCTATCTTCATGCAATATATGATTTTATCTGTGGGGTATTCAGTGTCAAGCCAAGTTCTCACTAATAAGGCCAATGAGTATGGGCCGAAATAGCTCAGTTGGGAGAGCGTTAGACTGAAGATCTAAAGGTCCCTGGTTCGATCCCGGGTTTCGGCAGCCAGAGGGGGAGGCAGGTTCATACTTCTATATTCCACAACGAATGACAAACATGGTTGAACACTCTGAATTATGCTAAAATACCCCTGTTATGGGAACCCAAGAGTTCTAGTCAAGCTCTTGTTACCCTGTTTGGAACTGTGGTAAGTATATGTTGTAAAAGGACCACATAACTGCCACTCTCTTCCGCCTCTGTCGAGCAAAGACGTGTCTCAGACGCTCCTGCTTCTGACTGCTTGCTATCTCCTGTTTTTGTCTTTTTCCTGGAGTTTTGCCACAGACAACTTTTAGCAAGAATGGAAATGGTAAATTGGTCCCTCAACGCAATTGATTCTATCTTTTCAACACGTAAGCGCGGGTCTGGAGAGCCCGAGTGCCCGGACGGGACTTCACCAGCGGGTTATACGCTTGACAGCTGGAACAAGTGGCAGCCCCTCTGTCTGTCGACCCTGTCCATTGAAGATTCGGAAGACGTATATATCTTTGGCTTTTTGGTGGTGGGGATCCTCCTGTTTGGGTTTGGAGCGGTTCTATTCTACCATAAATTCGGAGGCATGGCAGTTCGCAAGATTCACGACCTGCTGGCCAACAAAATTGATGGGATGTACAAGGAGCTTAACCGAGTCGTGGTTGAGAGCGCTGTGGCTGGACAAAGAAGAGTGGTGTTAGTGGAACAGTTGATCAGAGATCTCGCAGCTCGTTCACTTGATGGGCATAAAACTCTGGAATTGAGATTGAATGACATTGTTTGTCACGCTTGAACTCTCTGACCCGGCTTGGATTGGCCCCTGTGTACGGGGTCTGAGGGCGCCGCAATTCGGTTTAATTGGATTTAATAGAATATCTGCCTGTTTTTGACTGCTAAAATGCATAAAACATTGTCCCTCGTTACAGGAAGATGTGTTTTTCTCCTTGCTGTGTCTTCCCTCCACTCTTATCTCACATTCCTTGGGCCAAGGCCATATAATAAATCTGGACTCTACAACAATTTCACACTCAGTCAGTTCCAGCTTGGATCCCGCTCCCCCCGCCTCCCTCTGATCTCTCCCTCCCCTCCCCTCCTCACTGTGTTTCCGGCTCACCCCCTCCCTGACCCCGCCCCCCTCTGACAGCCACATTGGGCCGGCTGCAGAAGGTGCTCATCCCGAAAAAAAATCTGTGGTTTATACAAAGCACAATGTTTTCTATCCAACTGTCGCTGGACAGTTTGGAGCGTAACCCTAACCTGTATGTTATTGCTCTCTGCTGTTTATTCTACTGTTTGTCGCATGGCGCCGGAAAGATGGCGCCGTGGCAAGAGCTCTGGTGTGTGTCGTCTCTGTCTGGCGCACACCGGGGTAGTCTTGCACAGTTTTTCCAATGTGGTTTTACTGCAAATGGCAAATAAATGAATCTGAATCTGAATCTTCACGCTATTGCAACTCATGGTCTTTCTCTATGAGGTCAAGCGAGTACTTGAGTGTCGCTGTGGCTTAGTTGGCAAAGCGCCTGTCTCGAAAATAGATGATGGATTTATATCCCACCAGTGCCTTCTTAGATTGATCACAGATAAACAGTACAAGAATCATCCTGAATAACCATGAAGGGATTTGAACCCTCAATCTTCTGATCCGAAGTCAGACGCCTTATCCATTAGGCCACATGGTCTGCTGTTTTCTATAAAAATCCAAGGGACCAGAAAATTGACTAGTTCTGAGTCTGATCAAACCATTGAGATATAAACAGAATTTGGGTGCACATACCGGCAGTGCTGAGATTTTACAAAAAAATCTATTGCAACTCAAGGGCCTTTATCAGGTAAAACTGATGGTTGAGAAGATACTTGAGTGGTGCTGTGGCTTAGTTGGTCAAAGCGCCTGTCTAGTAAACAGGAGATCCTGGGTTCAAATCCCAGCAGTACCTTTAAACCTTGAACACAAATAAACAGAATCATGTAACTGGCAGTCTTAATTGTGTCAGTTATAGGATTCTAAACTCTTAAGCTCAGGGTTGTGGGTTCAAACCCCACGTTGGGTGGGAATCTTTGAAAGTGATGTGTTTTGCCCAATATTCAAGCAATACAGGCTTGCTGGGATTATGCGAAAAATAGCCCTGGAACCCAAGAGTTCCAGTCAATAGTCCAACTTTGTTAACCTGTTCAACAATACAATACAATACAATACAATACAATACAATTTATTCTTGTATAGCCCTAGGTCACAACAGAAGTCATCTCAGAGGACTTAACAAAACCATTGAAATCACCAACACAGGTCAGAGAATCAACAGTTAAAACACATGAAGAATACAGTATAAAGCACACACAGAAGAAAATGTCCATACATGTTGTAGAATGCTAAAGTGTCCTGCACCAAAGGACTAAGCTAGACCCTCCTTGAACCAAAGGGTGCTCATGGACGCTGAACGTGGACAGGTCCGGTGCAGGACCGAAGCACTCCCAGGCGGGTCGGGCGGGGCAGTCCGCAGGTGTAGTGGAAGAGGCAGGCTCAGAGATCCCGTCATCGTACCATGAAACCAGACAATGGGACAACAACGCAGCGGCCGAATCTCCAACTGCCAACAACAATGAAGTGACACACCTTTCTGGAAAGTTCCTTCTTCAAAAGTAGAAGACGATCGGAATTGACGCTCTGCGGCCGTGTCCTCCGTTGCTGCTGGGCGCGCTGGTCTGTTAGCGACGTAGCCACAGCAGTGACCCAGGGAGCTCGAGCAACCGCAACTATCCAATCAACGACGAGTTTCAGCTGCAGCAGTAGGCACTGCGCAGACTCAAACACTTAACAATTTGTGTACATCTTAGTGTTTGCCATTTGAAATTTGCAAACACTAAGATGTGCAATTTCCAAAAATAAGCCTGGCTGGTTTTTTTGTGTGTGCAAAATTCTTTGAATTTGATTACTGTACTCTTCAACTGTACTCGTTGTGATCAATTTGTTCAATAACAACTCAATAAAGTATGGCTGTGTAA